TGAACTACACCCCAGCCTAAAGAGTTTGAGTTATGACTTGACTATATAATAGGATTCATTGTACTACTCCCATACAGGTGGTCTTCAAAACAGAAATTGCTGTTCAGAGCCAAAGAAACCTGGATCTCCCATTGGTTTGGATTGAGATCTGCTGGAGACTGTTTATTTGAATAATAATTCAGTAATTGTGGAGGAATGAGAAAGATCAACATATTAACAGTCTATATTCCAGAAAACCCTTTTTTATAAGTCACATAAAAGACATGCCTCTGACTCCTTCTGTTGTTTTGTTTTGATTAAACTTCCCATAAGTTACAACATCACAAGAAATGCAGCTGTAGAGGCCACATTTCTTGGAAAGCCCCCCTGCTTCTTGCAACAGCCCTTTATCCTAAAAGATCCAGTTCAAGTTGAGTTGATCCGGGTTTAGCTACCATCTTGAGGGAAGTATGGATGAGTGAGGGGATGAGGGGTGGGTGTTCACAGCTCTGGACCCCTGCTGCCATGTGCCTTCCTGAAGCCAGTCAGTTTAATCCTTCTAAGTTGGCCAGCTCATTCCATTTGCTCTGGACTTTCTCAGGGTTAGCACTGGAAGCTCCATAGCCTAGGAAACTTCTGGGTCACTGACATACCAGATGGCTGATTACCTGTGTGTTTACTTCCCCTGCTTGAAGCTGTACCACATACAAAAGGCAAGCCTGAGTGGCATTAGTCCCTCTTCCTCTTCAGGCTGTCACCTATCATGGCCTCAGTCTTTCTACCATTGACTAGAACTTGAACCTAGTTACTCCAAAAAGTCATTAAGAATGAGGTGAACATTTCTACACTATATTTAAAAAATCTTTCTTTTCCCATTTTTAAGAGGAAAATGTCTAAATTCATATGAATTAAAGTTCTTTCTTAAGCTGGCACTATAGATTCCTGTTGAAAAGTTAAGTATGCATCTATTTCCATCTTATTTCTATCTTATGAAGGTAGACAGGCTATTTTGAAAAGAAGAATTTCAATTAGAAGATAAATCGAAGAATTTCAGACATACAAATATGTGTATTAACTCAGTCTTCCTGACTTACAGCTTCTAGATGTTTTTCTTTCTCTTTTTCATACACATCACATTTGAGAACTAGTTAGTACAATCCTATAGGAGGAATTCTGAAATTTTGTACAGGTATTTTATGGTGCTCACTATGGTTAGAGGGTGTTCAAGCACTTAGGTAGGGACCAGAGATATATTCCACGCATGAATTGAACATCCTGCAAAAAGAAGGGCTATCCTATATTCGGCTCAACTTTCTTTCTTTTTTCTTTTTTTTTTAAGTTATTTTTTTAACGTTTATTTTATTTATTTATTTTTATGTGGTGCTGAGGATCGAACCCAGCATCTCACACATGCTAGGCAAGCACTGTACCACTCAGCCCCAGCCCCAGTCCCTTGGTTCAACTTTCGAATGTCCACCAGACATTCATGTTGGTTTAAAATAAAACAAAACCCAAAACAACTTTTTCAATTTATTTAAACCTACAACCTAATTCCATTTAATTTTAGTCACAAATGTAACTACCACAAGAATTTATAACTATCATATATGTCCGGGAAGTGCTATACTATGTTTTGTTCAAAAATTGATAAGAAAAAATTCAATTAAATTTTTCAAAAATAAAATTAAAAACCCAGCAAACTTAACTAAGAACTGTTACCTTACTTCAGGAAATCACATCACCAGCAGCAATATCACATTTAAGTCATTAAGAAATATCATATTTAAGTCACCAAAAAACACATTTGTAAATGTTACACATGAAGTTATTAAGTGCAAATATGTAACACAGTTTTGAGGATTTTCTTTTTCTTTTTCTTATTTTTTGCACTAAGCATTGAAATCAGGGGCATTTTTACCCCTGAGCTACACTTCCAGTCCTTTTTTGCTGCTGCTGTTGTTGTTTTGAAGAGGGGTCTTGCTAAATTGTTGAGCCTGGCCTTGAACTTGCAATCTTTCTGCCTCAGCCTTCTGGGTAGCTGAGATTGCAGGTGTGCATCTCCATGCCCATCTTGGGATTATTTTTAACTAATTTAGACCCCAATACTTTGAAATGGATGGGAGACCTATGAAATATAGAGATGTTCCTAAATTTTTTAAAAGGGTGTTTCTTAAATGTTAATAAGCTTAAAGAGAAAAGTAGAATACTACAATATGCTACATTTTCTGTAACAACAGGGATTGATCTCTCTCACTCATTCACTTCTCTCTCTCTCTCTCTCTCTCTCTCTCTCATACACACACACACACACACACACACACACACACACACACCAAAGTATTTGCAAAAAGAAAACCCAAAAGGATAAAAACAATAAAAATGGCAACCACTGGATGGAGGGTGACAACAGAATGGCAGGAATGGCAATGTGACTTCTCTGAACATCTCTTTTAAATAGTTTTAAACAAAATAAAATATTTTTAAATTAAAAATAACTTTGAATAGTTTGCCTTTGGAACTACATGTTCAACAAACTGAGTAAAAATCACATGTAATTTCACTATACAGTATTGCAATCCTACATTTAAAATATTTTTGTAGCTTGATGAAATCTGTTGTGCAAATCACAAAAATTATTAAATTTCAGTTACTCCTCATTTTCAGTAACACCAATCACTCCCCATAGGGCTAATGACCTCCCCATTGCCTCTCATACTCAGTCTCTTCCTCCATCCATTCTCTATTCTGCTTTGCCTATCAAAGGATGTGGTCTCCAAAGTTTCCTTACATCCTAGAGACTGAAGGTTGAATATGCTGGGATTTCAAGGCACAGTTATAAAAATAAGTCCAGCTTATCTGCAAGAATATTATCCTTCCCATTTTTTCTATTTCAGTAATCTACAATCCCTCCCACCCACACGGTAGGAGGAAACATTTGCAGCTCCTATATCTCATAAAGGACTTGTATGTAGAGTATATAAAGAACTTTTACAGCTTAAAATAAAAAGACAACCCGATGAAAAAAAAAATGGGCAAAAAATCTGAACAAGATAGACAAAGAGCCAATAAGCACATGAAAGGAAGCTCAACATCATTACTCATTATGAAAATGCTAACCAAACATGTATCTACACATATACACACATATTTTAAGTACAGGGACATTATATTTCATATTAATTTACTTGAGGACAACTAAAAGGATGTTAGAAAATATTTACCTTTGCAGGGAACAGTGGTGCACATAATTCCAGGTCCTATAATTCCAGGACCCTAGAAGCTGAGGAAGGAGGATCTCAAGTTCAACAAGGCCACCTTGGGCAACTTAGTGAAACCTTGTCTCAAAATAAAAAATGAAAAAGGCTGGGAAATGTAACTCAGTGGTAAAGTGCCCCTGGATTCAATCCTCAGTAACACATACAAATTTTTATTTTTTAGAGAGAGAGAGAGAGAGAGAGAGAGAGAATTTTTAAATATTTATTATTTAGTTTTCAGTGGACACAACATCTTTATTTATTTGTATGTGGTGCTGAGGATCGAACCCAGCGCCCCGCGCATGCCAGGCGAGCACGTTACTGCTTGAGCCACATCCCCAGCCCCACACATACAAATTTTTTAAAATTTATTTTTACTTTTTAAGAGATATTGGGTCTGCTGGGTGTGGTGGCACACACCTGTAATCCCAGCAACTAGGGAGGATGAAGCAGGAAGTTCGCCAGTTCAAAGCCAGCCTCAGCAATTAGTGAGGCACTAAGCAACTCAGTGAGATCCTGTCTCTAAATAATATACAAAAAAGGGCTGAGGATGTGGTCAGTGGTTAAGTGCCCCTGAGTTCAATACCCGGTATGAAAAAAAAAAAAAAGAGAGAGAGAGAGAGAAAGAGAAAGAGAGAGATTGGGTCTAACTGACTTTGCAGAAGAATTCAATTAATCAACAAATATATGAAAAAAATGTTCAACATCTGTAGCAATTAGAGAAATGCAAATAAAAACTACACTGAGATTTCATCTCATCCCAGTCAGAATGGCAATTATCAAGAATACAAGCAACAGGGCTGGGGATGTGGCTCAAGCGGTAGCACGCTCGCCTAGCATGCGTGCGGCCCGGGTTCGATCCTCAGCACCACATACAAACAAAGATGTTGTGTCTGCTGAAAACTAAAAAATAAATGTTAAAACTCTTTCTCTCTAAAAAAAAAGAATACAAGCAACAGTAAATGTTGGCAAGGATGTGGGGGAAAAGGTATACTCATACATCGCTGGTGGGACTGAAAACTGATGCAACCATTAAGGAAAGTGGTATGGAGATTCCTCAGAAAATCTGGAATGGAACCACCATTTGACCCAGCTATTCCACTCCTCAGTTTATACCCAAAGGACTTAAATCAGCATACTAGAGGGACACAGCCACATCAATGTTTATAGCAGCTCAATTCACAATAACTAAACTATGGAACCAACCTAGGTGTCCTCCAATAGATGAATGGATAAAGAAAATGTGGTATATGTACACCATGGAATATTACTCAACCTTAAAGAAGAATGAAATTATGGCATTTGCTGGCAAATGGATGAAGCTGGAGAATTTCATGCTAAGTGAAATAAGCCAATCCCCAAAACCAAAGGCCAAATGTTTTCTCCGATATCTGGATGCTAATTCACAATAAGCGGGGCGGAATATGCTACAGAATATAGGAACTTTCGATTAAACAGAGGGGGATGAAGGGAGGGGAGTGGGTATGGGGATAGGAAAGATAGTAGAATGAATCAGACATTATCACCCCATGTGCATGTATGGTTACATGACCAGTGTGATGTAGAATACTCCATTTTTGTATGATGTGTCAAAATGCATTTTATTGTCATGTATAACTAATTAGAACAAATAAAAAGAGATATTGGGTTTGACAAGACTGAGATCCACTGATCTACAGGAAGCACAAAGATGATTATCTGATCAGCATGTGACCTTTTAGAGTCAGAGTTTCGTTTCTATGTTTCACAAAATATTCAGTCAAGGACTCATGGAGAAAAACAGAAAATAAATTTATTGATGCATTGTAATGATACATAATAGAATTCACGATGCTATATCTGTAAATGCATGTAGTGTGATCAGTGTCCTTCCCCAGCACCTTCTCTTTCCCTCCCCTCCATCCTCCCTATTCTTCTCTACTAATCTACCTTCTATTATTATCATTTTAATTAGTGCATTTGAATTCATATATACATTAAAATTTTTAAATATTTCTCACTTTTACTTTCTCCTTATTCTTTATTGAAATGTTCTATTTCTGGATGTACAAGTACACATATATTTGCACATGCATCTGTCATTATGTTATAAACTGATAAATTTCACAATATCTGTATGCCATATAAATGAATCTTACCTTTTTAAATGCCTAAACATGTAAACAATTTTTGGTGAAGACATTCAGGAACAAAGAACATGATCTCGCTGGGCTTTTATGGCTAAAAGCCATTGTAACACACATCAGTCTTACCAAGCTCTACAACCTAATGAAGCCTTATGAACACTTGGGTCTGTCTCTGCTGGCCTCTCATGGTCTAAATGGTCCTAGACTGATAAGCTTTTTACAGTTCTCTGCTCTGCTTTTTATAGGGACTTCATTCTTTTTATGGGCCGTTTGTTTATTTATTGCTGCTCTTAGTGGCCTCTGGAAATGCCTCTCATTTCATTCTGACTTCCTGCATTCACATAAACATTTGTTTTAATGACTACACTACTGGTGACATTTTTTTCCCATATTTTTTATTGGTGCATTATAATTATATATAACCTTCTGGTGACATTTTTCATCTGTTAGATCTGAGCACCACAGATGTGGTCTTTTCAATTCCAAGTTTCAAAAGGTACCAGTGTAAGTAAATAATAAGTAAGTCTATGTTATTATTAAGGAGTTATCTCCAGGGCAAAGGTGAGCCAGGAGTGCAGAAACAGGAACTGTAAAACTCGGCAGAATCCCCAGAGGCCCTTTTCTTAACATCACTCACCTCTGCAGCTCTTTGTCCATCTCTTCCATTTTCTCTTCTGTAGACTCTTCTGGCTTCCTCATGAGCAGGATGGTTACTGTTCCAGTCACCTGCAGAGAACAAAGAGCTGCTTTAATCACAATGCCACAGCCCGAGAGAATCAGACTGGCTGGGTTTAAACCACAGACTGGTTGCCACCTGGTCTAATCAGCTATGGCCAGGAGGAATAATGTTCATTGTTTTGTTACCAAAGTTTTATTACCAACTTTCTTCTCCCTGTTTACTGTTACTAGGGAGGTGTCAATCACATGCTAAAACATTTGCTCTTTTAAGATGTACAACTCAGGGACTTTTAGTCTTTTCACAGTTCAGCAACTATCACTGCTGTTTCATTTCCAGAACATTTTTCATCACTCCAAAAGGAAACCTCCCACTCATTAGCAGTCATCTCCCATCCTTCCTTTCTCCTGGCCTCTGGCACCAATAATCTACTTTCAGTTTCTATAGATTGGCCTGTCCTGGATATTTCCTATGAATAGAATCTTACATCGTGTGATCTTTTATCTGGCTTCTTTCAGCATGTTTTCAGGCCCATTCATGGTGTGGCATGGATCTGGACTTATTCATTTTTGTGGCTGAATAGTGCTCCAATGCACGGACAAGCCACATCTTAGCCATTTACTCATTAACAGACATTTAGGCCATTTCCCCTTTGTGGTTATTAAGAATGTAACTGTGAACATTCAAGTCTTTATATGAATGTATCTTTAAGTCTCTGAGGTACAAACTTAGAAGTGGAATTGTTGGCTGCTATGGTAATGTTTAACATTTTTGAAAATTATCAAATTGACTTCCAAAGCAGCTGCACCACTGTGTATTCTCCAGGGATATGTAAGAGTTCCAGTTTCTCTACACTCTTGCCATCTTTTTTTATTGTCCACCTGTTTATTTATTAGAGCCATGTTAGTGGGGATGAAATGATAGCTTGCAAGTGATTTTGATTTTCACTTCCCTAATGACTAATGAGATCAAGCATCTTTTCAGGTCCTATTGACCATTTATATATTTTCTTTGGAGAAACATTTATTGAATTAACTTCTGCCCTTTTTTTAAACTGGGTAGTCATTTCATTGGTGAGTTGTAAGAATTCTTAGGGATTTAAGATATTAGACATTTATGAGACAGATTTATAAATATTTTTTCCCATTCTCTGGGTTGTCTTTTTACTGTCTTGACAGTTTCAATGAAGAACAAAAATTTTATTTAACTTTAACAAAATAGTACAATTTTTTCCTTTAGTTACTTGTGCTTTAGGCATCCTATCTTAAAAAACAGATCTTTGTAATCTAAGGTCACAAAGATCTGCATCTTGTGCAGATCTTCACTGAAGAGTTTAATAATTTGAACTCTGATATTTAGGTCTTTAATCTGTTTTGAGTTAAATTTTTTATGTGGCAGTAAGTAGGAGTCCAACTTCATTATTTTGCATATGAATATTCAGTGGTCCAATGACACTTTTTTTTATATTTCTTTTTTAGTTGTAGTTGGACACAGTACCTTTATTTTACTTATTTATTTTTATGTGGTGCTGAGGATCGAACCAAGGGCCTCGCACATGCTAGGTGATCACTCTACCACTGAGCCACAACCCCAGCCCCCAAAGCCACTTGTTGAAGTCTATTCTTTCCTCATTGAACTGTCTTGCACCTTTATTTTTTTTGCACCTTTATTTAAAGACAATTTCTATTAGAACTAAATTCCCAAAGTTGTTCAACAACTGACTGCACTCAATAGAGCAAGCAACAAAAAAGCAACTAAATGAGATTAGGATATGTGTATTTGAAAAGCCACGTAATCATTTCCTTATATTTTATATACATACCAAGAATATACTAGCTAGTATAATGGATATGCTGATTGGGTTATGCCAAAATGTATACTTTAAATGTGTGCAGTTTATTGTTCATCAATAATACCTCACTAATGAAGTTTGGTTTTGGTGGTGGCTTTTCCAGCACTGGGGACTGAAACAGGGCCCTGTGCCTGCTAATCACTGAGCTATACTCTCAGGCCCTAAAGTGATTTAAAAAAAAAAAAAAAAAAAAAGGTAAGCCAAAACTGATGGTGCATACCTATAATTCCAGTAGCTGGGGAGGCAAGAGGATCACAAGTACAAGGTCAGCCTCAGCAACTTAACGAGGCCCTAATCAACTTAGACCCTATCTCAAAATAAAAAATAAAAAAGGACTGGGGATATAGCAAGAGTGTAAATTCAATATTTTATTTCCCTAATCATTTTTCAGGATCAGCCTCTTGGGATTCGTGATGTAACCAACTAGTGATTCTTGAAAACTTTTATATTTCTTTTAACTGATCTTGCTCAAAAATATAAACAAACCACTTGAATTCAGGATTTATAAGGCTGGGGTTAACTCATTACTATGGGATAAATATTAATGAGGGCTGGACATGTGTTCTGATTCTTAAGGAAAACCATTTTTAAGTCATCTCTCAATGAGGACTTAGAAAATGGACTAATCCTTTTCTACATAGCACTCCCAAGTGCACCAGCCATTTTGGCAGAGACTTCAGCCATCTAGCACCTCCATATCCCTAGCATCAAGAATGCTGCAAGCACACACATGCACTTAAATCTATCACCATCTTTCCTGGGACCATTTTGGATTGAGACAGGTGGCATCTTTGTTCCTCCTTCTAATTTAACAATTCTATGTACAGGGGCAGATGCTATCTTCTGAAAATTTTCTTATTAATGCACCTTTTTATATTTGGAAAACATGGTGGTATGGCTTAGGAATCTGACATCCAAATAGTGAACAAAAATTTCTGTCAAAGATTTTGTACAGGCGCTGAGGATGTGGCTCAAGCGGTAGCACGCTCGCCTAGCATGTGTGCGGCCCGGGTTCGATTCTCAGCACCACATACAAACAAAGATGTTGTGCCCACCGAAAACTAAAATAAATAAATAAATATTAAAAAAAAAAAAAAGATTTTGTACAGAATCTACAAACTAAAAAGCAATTGGACTTGGGATGGAGCATCTGCCTAGCATGCACCAGATGTCAGATTCAATCTCCAGCACTGGGAGAGACCCAGGAAGTAAACAAATGGGAACATTTAGGGGAAGCATGGCACACTGTTTGGAAGAAATAGTGCATTGATTTAAAATGATCATTATAAGTCTACAGTGACATGGAAATTGGGAAGTATGAATCGGAAAATGAAAAGGACTTTGATTACAAACTAAGAAATTACCTGCTAGAATTTGCACTGCATGAAGACAGGATGTTTTGCTTGTTCTGTTCCTGGTCAGTACCTGGCACCTGGAAGATACTTATTAATATTTGTTGAAAGCATTAGTGAAACCAATGTTAAACATTTCTGAAAACAAAGCTGAAGGTGTAACAGTGGTCCACTTTACCTTTTGTACATAGCCCTCCTTGCTCTGAGTCTTATTTTTAAAGGGGCATGTGCTTTTCTCTCTTCTCCCCTCTTCCCCTCCCTAACATGAGGGAGACAGTTATCTTTTCTTCCCCTAGTTAATTGTCCTTGAACACACTCACCACAGGAAGGAGATATCTACCAGAGGATCTAAGAAGTGAATTTCAACACACCTTCAGGTTGCACCTGGGATCCCCTGTCAGGACACCCCTGGAATGTAGCCTTTTTTGGGGGGAGGGGGTGAGGACAAGGATTGAACTCAGGGGCACTTGACCACTGAGCCACATCCTCAGCCCTATTTTGTGTGGTCTTTGAATAGCTTCTTTTAAAGCCCAGTTCTCCCTGATAGGCAGAAGCACAGCCTCAGGGACAGGAGATCCCTGTGTTTCTCCTTTGCTAGCAAAGCAATAAATCTTTTTTCCTTTTTCTCAAAACTATATCCTCATTATTCAATTGACACTGGGAACCAGGACCCAGCTTTCCAGTGGTTACAAAGGGAACAAGCATTCACGTGGAAAACTGTAGTCCCAAGGCAGAACTATGGTGCTTCCCCACTTGCCCTCTATTCTCCCTAAAACTGTTCTCCATCCAAGGATGGCCACAGAAACACCTCTCCTGGCCCTGACACTTTCTCCTCCGACCTGCAAATAAGGAAGCATGTGACTTGGAGCAGGGATGTTGGTCTGGCTTCAATTCCAGCAGGAGTATTTTACTGGGCATGAGGCTCCAGCCTGGGGCTCTGAGGACACCCAATACTTAGTCTTTTCCCCCAGAGGCTTAGAAAGCAGCTCTGCCCCAGGTCCCCTATAACAGCCTCCTGGTAGGGGCTGTTCTCTACGCCCCGGGTCCTCTATGGATGTCACTCTTACCTAGGTCACTAAGGGATCGGCCGTTGCCCCTGAAAGAACCGATGCGAGACAAATCACGGGAGAAGTTCCACTTTATTTCAAAAGGCTATGTGCTTACATAGATCTAAGGATAGGAGGCAGGACTTAGGTAAACGACAGGGTGCTTGTTTATTGGTAAGTTCTTCCAGATATCAGTTCTGGAGCCTACGAAATTAGTTCTTATTGGGCTGGGTTTTCTGCCAGCGGAATTGAAAATTGGCGCTGGTGGAAACGAAGACACAGGAAGAGAAGCTACCTGGGTGCCATGTTAGATAGAGCATATATGACCAACATTTCCCCCTCTTTTGTGTTGTTTTTGGAACAGGGACGTCATTTGACTCTGGCTACTTCCTGCTGAGTAGGGGTGGCGTGGGGCGTTATCCCTGGATGGAGGTTGTTGGGGTTGGTCACCAGCCATTAGGTCTCGTAACAAGGGCTCCAGGAAGCATCGGGAGCGCCAATGTCATGTCAAAATAGCGCTTCCAATATTTCCTAGTGTCCCTGTCATAAGGGGCGTCACCAGCACCTGAAGATGATCAGAGCAAACAAGAACAAGATGAAGATAAGAATTAAAACAAAGGTCAGTTTTCGGTGGGAGTTCCATGCTGGGGGACTGAAAGAGAAGAGGCCAAGGGCCATGAGGAGGCTTAAAAGGACATAAAGGCTCAAAAATCCCGGTTGACAGGCTAAGAGATCCTCTGCCATCCTGGATTTTTGTCTCCCGCTGTCCGATGTCCGTCGTTTTTCATTGTGCCTGGTAGTAAGCTTCAGCACTGAGTGAGCTGTTCTCTTGAAGATATTCGGGGTTCATCGGTCATCAGAGGCTGGTAGTTCCTAAGCAGAAGCTGGTTGAAAGTTTGATTAGAAATTTTCTGTAATTGGGTTTGAAGGAACTTCGTTATGCAGGGCAAGAGAGAGCAAAAAAGGAGTATCCCAATAAGGGGCCCCAAGAAAGATAGCAAGTACGTGGCGAGAGAAGATTGGAAGAACCCTGCTATGGGATTAGGGGAGGTGGTTTTGAGCAATTAGGTCGATAATTCCTGCAATTTAACAACATTCTTTTCTATTAGCCCAGACTCATTGATATAGTAGCAACATTCCTCTCTGAGGAACAGGCAAGTACCCCCTTTTTGTGCAGTGAGGAGATCAATCGCCCACAGGTTCTGTAAAGCCACTTGTGCTAATGAGGTAACCTGCTGCTACAAGGAGCCCAGAGACTCAGCAGTGGTATTGAGCGCTTCTTGCAGTTTTTGTTGAAGGTCATTGGATGCCCACAGAGCATGACCTATAGCTCCACCAGAGAGTCTGAGACTCGCCACTGAGGTTGTTAATGTGAGGCCTACCAGAACCGGCAGAAAGACTGCCCTACTGGTGCGGGAAGGTGGGACCAATTGTCGGAATTCAAAGACAGCTGAGGAACTACAGTAACCAAGAAACAGGTGCCGGAGACATTGGTTGTTGCAGAGGTGGGAGGCCTCTATCAAATTAGTTATGAGAGCCGAATTAGTGATCATATTACCTTTGGTGGTAAGTAGACCTTGCTCCTTCCAGATTGCAGAATGGGATAATAGAATATGGAAGACATATTTTGAGTCAGTATAAAGGGTGAGGGATTTGCCCTGCGCTAGAAGGCAGGCACGAATGGTTGCTACAAGTTCGGCCTGTTGGTTGGTGGTTCCTGAAGGCAGAGCTTTGGCTTCTATAATCTCAGTGGCCAAAACAATGGCGTATCCAGAGTAATGAGTGCCATTTTGCCAAAAGGAACTGCCATCAGTGAACCAGATAAGGTCGGGATTGGTGAGTGGTCCCTCAGAAATGGAATAATGACAGGGGAGGAAATCATCCAAGGTTTCTAAGCAATTGTGAACTGGAGCGTCAGGTGTGGAGGTCGTTGGGAGCAGGGAGGCAGGGTTCAGTGTAGGGCAAAAGAGGAATGTAATATTGGGGTTTTCCAGAAAGGAAGTGAGGAGTGACAGAACTCTGGATGGCGGAAAGGTTATAAGCTAAAAGATCCTTCAAATGGTGTGGGGAATGGATAGTTAAAGGGGCCCCAAAAGTCAGCTTAGAGGCTTCTTTGTGTAAGATTTGTCCAGCAGCCAGAGCTCTTAAGCAAGGGGCCTACCCACGGATGGTAGGATCTAATTGCTTGGACAGATATGCCACAGGTGTGAATGTAGGCCCACAGGTTTGACCCAAGACCCCAAGTGCTTGTCCCCCTTTTTCATGGACATATATATGAAATGGTCTTGAAAGATCGGGAAGGTGAAGGGCAGGTGCCTTTAAGAGGAGTTGCTGAAGTCTGAGGAAGTGGTGGGGGGGGGAGGAGGCGAGAGGTTCACCAGGGGGTCCCTTTACTAGGTCATACAAGGGTTTGGCTAGAAGAGCATAATTTGGGATCCAGGCCCTAAAATATCCTGCTAGTTCTAGGAATGACAGTATTTCGGCTTTTGTATGAGGCACCGGAAGATTAGAGAGGAGTTACCTCCTATCTAGTGTTATTTCCCTTTTTCCCAGTGCAAGGCAAAAGCCAAGGTAGGGTGACAGTAGACTGGGAAACCTGGGCCTTGTGGGGAGACACTCTATACCCCTTATCTGCCAGGAAATTGAGAAGCTGGGTGGTGTAGGTTTGAGACTGTTCCCAAGAGGAACTACATAGAAGAAGATCATCGACATATTGAAGGAGGGTAGAATCAGGACAGGTGGGGTGGAAGGATGTGAGGTCCTGGGCAAGAACCTGGCCAAAGAGATGGGGACTATCCCTGAATCCCTGCGGAAGGACGGTCCAGGTAAGCTCACGAGAATGGCGGGTGTGAGGATCAGTCCGTGTAAAAGCAAAGATATTTTGAGACTCTGAAGACAAGGGAATAGAAAACAAGGCATCCTTTAAATCTAGGACTGAGAAGTGGGTAGTAGTAGCAGGGATCTGAGAGAAGGGTGTAGGGGTTGGAAACTAGCGGATGAATGGGGACCACGGAGGAGTTGACGAGGCAAAGGTCTTGAACCAATCCATAGGACCCGTTGGGTTTCTTAACTGCCAGAATGGGGGTGTTGAAAGGAGAGTGCATAGGCCTGAGATACCCCTTCCATAATAAGTCCTGGATGATGGGTTCTAACCCGAGGAGGGCTGTGGTTGTAAGTGGATATTGTGGTAGATTAATGTATCTTGAAGGGTCCCATAAAACAATATGAAAAGGACTGCATTTAGCCACAGAGGGCGTAGCTGTGTCCCAAACCTCGGGGTTAACTGGTTTAGACAGTCGTGGGAGAGTGCATGATGGAGGTGTATCTGTCCCTAGGATCATCATGAGGAAATGAGAGGCAGGGGAGGTGTGGGGTGATATGTGAATGGTGACCTTCAATAGTGAGAGTATGTCCCTTCCCAGAAGGGGAATGGGGCAATGGGTCATAACGAGAAAGGAGTGTGTTAAGGACAAAAGGGATCCCTGCATATAGCATGATAAGGGGGGAGTTTTTCAAGGGAAAATCTGTTTACCTCCTACCCCGACAATAGGAGTTTTCGAAGGCGTGGTAGGGCCCCAATACTCCCTCAAGACCAAAAAAGTGGCACCAGTATCCAAGAGGAAGGTAATGGAGCATCCATCCACCAGGAAGGTGACCCTGGGCTCTTGCTTCTTGATGGTTATAGTCGGGAGGGAAGGCCCAGGGCTCTGTCAATCCTCCTCTGCCAAGCCTAGGAGAGGCTGGGGTTACAGGGTGGCTGACCAGCCTCCCCTCTGGGTTGTTGGACAGTCTGACTCCCAATGTCCCCTTTGGTGGCATTTTGGGCAGGTGGTGGAGGGTGTCCTTGGCGAAGGATAAACCTTGGCCCAATATCCCTCCTTACCACATTTGAAGCAAGCTCCAGGGGGCATCTTATTAGGACGGTGTGGTGATAGCCTTCCCTGAATGACCTGGGCCAACATTTGGAATTTGGTGTTTTCAGCCTTCTGCCTGCGGCATTCACTTTTGTCTTCCCTACCATGGAAAAGCTTGAGAGCGACCGCAAGGATTTTGGTCTGAAGGGTAGCAGGGCCCTGTTCAAGCTTCTTAAGCTTGGCTTTAATGTCAGGGTAGCTTTGGGCCAGAAAATATGTCATTAAGACATGGCGACCGTCAGGGGTTTCTAGGTCAAGGTTTGTGTACTGTTGGAGGGCCTTAGTTAGTCTATCCAGGAATTCTGAAGGTGTTTGTCCTTCTTCTGAATGACCTTCTGCACCTTTTGAAAATTAACGGCCTTGCAGGTGGCCTTCTTCAGGCCTGCCAAGAGGCAGGATGCAAAAAGGTCACGAGAATGCAAACCTCCAGGGGTGTTGTAATCCCATAGAGGATCCTGCTCTGGGACAGCGTGTGGGCCCAAAGGGTGGTTGGGATTGGTTTTATGATTTTCATCGGCCTGGGCTAATTCCCAGACCCGTCGCCTTTCCTCAGGGAGAAGTGTATAGGCCAGGAGCATGTAAATGTCGTGATGAGTGAGGCTATATGCTTGCAGAACCCATTGAAATTCCTGAATGTAAGTGGTGGGGTCAGTGGTGAATGAGCCTAGCTTCCTTTCTAGCTGCATAAGGTCCGACATGGAGAAGGGCACATGTACTCGGATAACACCCTCGGGGCCAGCAACCTCACGAAGGGATGCGATCGTCATGGGGGTGGGAAGGGGTCCCTTGGACCTGGTAACAGGAGGGCTGAAAGAGTCGGTCGGCGATGGACAGGAAGAAGAGAAAGGGGAAGGGGACGAAACAGAAGGCTGAGGATCCATGGGATCAGACGAAGGAGGAGGAGGGGATGGCGGGAGAGGAGGAGCAGGTGGGGCTGAGGGATAAGGTGGGGGTTTGTCTGCTGGGTCAAATGAGGAAGAGTCCACTAGATCAGGAGTGGAAGTAGGTGAAGGGAGGGGGTTGCGAGCAAGGAGAACTTGAGAGGGAGAGCAGGAAAGGCAGAGAGCAGGGTGCTAAGCGAGAAGGCTAAAACCTTCAACGTAGGGAATCGCCTTCCATTTTTTCAGATGCTGGCAGTAGTTAAAACGGTTCCAGAGAAGATTTGGATCTGATGAGCCTTCTAGAGGCCAATGATTGCCATTATCCAGAGGATATGTAGGCCAATCTTGGGTACAGAATTTGATCAGGAGTTTGGGCTTGATGTCTGGTGTGAGAGAGAGTGTGGCTAGATTTTTTATTAGACATTTGAGGGGTGAGGTTTCAGGTATGGACGAGGAGGCGCTCATGTTCACAGAAAGACAGAGAGAAAGAAAGAGACAGAGACAGAGATAGGGAAAGAGAGAGTCTTCCGGCCGGAAAAACGATCAGCAAGGGCTAAAAGGGCATCCCCTTCTAAGACCTTGGGGATCGTGGAGACTCTAGGAACAGTCGGGAAATGAGAGGCAGTGAGGGTCGTCACCCAAACTGCAACTCTGGGGGGGGCGGGCAAAAGCCGGAGGCCTCGAAGAACCTAGTACTAGGATTTACTGGTTACAGAAGAAGAAGGAAGAAACAGAGGTCTCTCGCCTGAACCCAGAAGCCTCATACCCCAAAAGAAAACGGGTTGTCAAGAGAGTCCACTACGGCTGTAAAGGCCTTAGTGGGGTGGGTTCTCTCCCCTCTATCTGGCGTCAGGAGTGTGCCAGACGATCATGGTTCCCTGTTCTTGCTGTAGCCCATGGAGGATGACAAGCCAGGAGGGGAACTTACCCAAGCCCGATCAGTGGTGGGTGTAAAGAGCCAGCGCCTGAAAAGGTGGACGAGATCAAGATGTCCCGTGGAGCCGGAAATGGGGCTCTGTTAAAATGAGCTCACCCTTCTCCCAGGTTTCGGGAGACAAGTCACCGGAGAAGTTCCACTTTATTTCAAAAGGCTAAGTGCTTATATAGCTCTAAGGATAGGAGGCAGGACTTAGGTAAACGGGCGCTTGTTTATTGGTAAGTTCTTCCAGATGTCAGTTCCAAAGCCTACGAAATTAGTTCTTATTGGGCTGGATTTTCCGCCGGCGGGATTGAAAATTGGCGCCGAGAAACGGAAACACAGGAAGAGAAGCTACCTGGGCGCCATGTTAGATAGGGCATATATGACCAACAGCCCCTACCTGACCTCAGCCCTCTTGTGGGGTGGCTCCTTCCAGAAAGAGGACCCTCTTCTCGCTGGCCCCATCCACCAGGGGGACTCTCATTCCATCGAGCCCTTCCCATGGGTCACTACCCACGCCCGCCACGCTGGAGGCTGTCGCCGCGCCCCTGCACCCCTGCCTGCGGTCACTGGTCCCTGAGAGGGAGGTAACCCTTTCCCCCATCCCGGGGGGTGGTGACGCCTCCCCGGGCCCGCGCCGCCTCCTTCCGGGCCCTCCCCCGCGACGGACGGCGGGGCAGCAGCGGCAGGGCCTCCTGGGCGGGGCTCCGGCGCGGGGACCAGGCGGCGACGCGCGCGGCGGCAGCCGGGGCCATGGCGGGCTGCTGCGCGGTGCTGGCGGCCTTCCTGTTCGAGTACGACACGCCGCGCATCGTGCTTATCCGCAGCCGTAAAGTGGGGCTCATGAACCGCGGCGTGCAGCTGCTCATCCTGGCCTACGTCATCGGGTGAGCGCGCGGTGGGCCGGAGGGGCCGGGGCGGGGGGTCCCCGACGGCCGGCAGCGGCTCGGCACGGTGAGCCGCGCGGGCACCCGCCCCCTTCGGCCCGCGCGGTGCACCTGCCCACCCTGGCCGCTTGCGCGGTGCACACACCCAGGCTCGGGCCACCTAGACGGGCTCTGTCCGGGCCTCGGCGACGGGAAGCTGCTTTGATTCAGGGTGCTGAAGGGAAAGCCTGGCTAGACCGTCATCTTGCACGTTTACCTTCCAACTTGCTCCTTGATGGCCCTGGGCTGTGGGAACTTTGCCCTAAACGTCTCAGTTTCCTTTCTTCACTTGCCATTTTGATGACCCGCTGACAAAACCAAGACTTGGGATTTCCATTTGGTTCCTTCTGAGTCTGTGGCTTCCTCTCCTTTCCTTTGATCACTATTCGGTAACCCAAGATAGTGGAGAGGTCGCACTTGCCAAGAGTGTTTAAAGGACACTGACTGTTTTACAGCATTGTTTGGGGCGGAGGGTGTGGATACCTGCTTTAGCATAGTCATTACCCCGGGAGCCGCTTGTGTTTATATATGCCCTGCGGCCTCCCTAAATGTTTGATTTAATTGAATGCACCTGATATAGTGTAATTCAACCCAGGGGAGGAGGTAGCAATTACCTTGCCAGCTGGGCTTTCTTTCAAGGTGGAGCATTATGGTGTCTACAGATGCTGGGTTGACAGATACATCTGCTATGTCACTTTCCTAAAAGGCCTAGAGTAGTGGTCCCCCAAACTGCTCATTGGAACCATTTGGGAATCTATAGAAAAAATTGATTGATGGCTCTCATCCCAGACCTTCGGATTCGGCTATAGAGTATGGCCAACTCCCCAGCTGATTCTTGTGTTCAGCAAAGTTGGCGAATGGGTGACCTGGTGTTTTGCACATTTACCTGATTAGGAAAGATCATCTGAGGAATTTTTGAAAAATAACAGATTCCTCCACCTTGGGGTGAAGTTTGGAATCTGTTTACACTGCCCAGGGGTATTCACATAGTCTGGTAGTTTGGGCTTCCAGCGTCAATCAGCCCTGCAGCAGCTGGTACTGAGTGTTCAAGAGTATGTCTTGCTGGGGTACAGTTCAGTGGTGAAGTGCATGCTTAGCATGCATGAGGCCCTGGGTTCCATCCCCAGCACCCAAAAAGTTAAAAAATCCAGGTAGAGACTCAACATAAGAACCTCCTGGGCTATACCTGGGTTTGGACTCATTAAGTCTTAGGGATGAAATAGTTCCAGATCTCCCACAATGGTTGTGGTGCATCTCCCCGACAATGGTTGTGATGCACTCCTGCAGAATTTGGGATCAGAAGTTCTAGGCAGCTTTTAGGTCTTAACTTTTGTTCTCATGAGAAGATCGGTTCACTTCTACCTTTGGGTACTTGTAAAATTCTTATACCTTAAAGAAGCCACTAGTCACAGATGGCTATTGAACACTTATCCATTTCTACTCCAAATTGAGATGCACTGGAATTGTAAAAATATACACTGGATTTTGAAGAGTACAAGAAAAAGTAAAATATCACATTGATAACTTTTTGAAATTGATGACTGTTAAAATATTTTAGACATATTGGGCTACCTAAGAATTATTTTTTTCTGTATCTTTTTACTTTTTAATGTGGCCTCTAGAAATTTTTAAATCACACATGGGATTCACCTCATGTTTCTAGTGCAATTCTAATTGCTTCTTGTCCTTTTGGCTAAGATCAAGTGTAGTGCAGTTCTGTGGGGTTCTTAGAGAGTGTTGTCTGCCTTGATTATGAGGGTTTTTAAGCAGCAGTGCCTTGCTTTTAGACATCTTGCTATAATCAGAGCCAACTCTGTTCTGAGGAAAGGGCTTTTTTTTTTTTTTTCCTTTTAAAACTTTTTAAACTTCCTGATCTAGTTAATCTTGGTGAAACTGTGGTCTCTTCTCCCAAACAACTATTCCTCATAGAGACTGAACCCACAGTCCCCAGCCATCTAATTCAGTTATCAGTCACATGATGAGGAAATAATCACATGATAATGACTGGTACGGAACAATCTGTCTCTGATTTCGCAACTCCCTGTACTTGGTAGTAAAATAATGATGACCTTCCTATTGAATGGGAGCTTTCCAGCAGCTGAATTTCTAAAAGCCCCAAAGAGGAGGACTTGTCAAGGGAAAAGCCCATCTCTAGGATGGGCAGTGAACTTGGAGATTCCTCAGATCAAATAAACCCATAAATAACCCAGTGTCACACAGCTAATGAGTGGCAGAGTCAGGATTTGAACTTGAATCAGAAGCCCTTAAGCCTCTTCTCTTACCCATGGTGCTCCCTCAAAGAGAATCCCACCTTGACCTTTCAAGGTACTTTTTTTTCCCACAATAACTTTATTTTATTTGTTTATTTTTATGTGGTGCTGAGGATGGAACCCAGTGCCTCACACGTGTGAGGCAGGTGCTCCACCACTAAGCCCCAGCCCCAGCCCCTCAAGGCACTTTTTATAGTAGTTTGTTTCTTTCTCCCAAGAATTCAGGTCACATGTATAATTCTCTTTTCTGAAGTGAGAAGGTTACTGTTATTTTGAGTGATTAAAAATGCAAAAGCATTTGTGGGTTGCGGTTAGGACACCAAAACACACTTTGGAAATAGAGTCTCAGTTCACAGCTCAGCTTGGCTCTAACCGCTCACTAGGCATAACTTTGGCCAAGTGACTAAACCACTCTGGGCCTCAGTTCTTCCCATCTATCATATGGAAATGGTCATAGAGCTTCACCACTGTTATAGAATTAAATGATTTAGTGTATGTCACATGCATAGAATAATGTTTGTTTCAACCCACCACTGGAACGTTATAGCAACCAAAGCTCCTCCCCACCAGAGCTACTAAACATATGCCACAGACTATTATTACTATTATTTCTAGAATCGAGAAGTGCTAGGATCCACTTCCCTTCCTTAGAAGTACTAGATGCTAAGATTTCAGAATTCACTAGTTTGGGTTACTTGTGGGTTCGTTTGATCAGAGCAGTCTCCAGATGGACTGCCCATCCTAGAGATGGGCTTTTCCCCTGAGGAGTCCTCTTCTTCAGGACTTCTAGAAATTTATCTGCAGTAAAGCTCCCATTCAATTCTTGTTTGACACATGGATGCTCAGGGCAGGATGGCCACCTGTGTGTCTCCATTCCCTCCTCTGTAAATTGGAGATGATAATAATGATATTTGCCTCATGAAGTGGTCAGGATTAAATGAGTTCATACATATAAAGAGTTTAAAGCTGTGCCTGATCCTAAAATCACTCAAGTGGAAACTATTCCTATCACAATGTGTCATCTCTTGGTCATTCCCATAGGCCCCAGTGTATTGAAAATGCTCAAATATCCAATAAAGACAGTATTCATTGAGCTTTTCCTCTGTGATACTGGTGCTTTACCTACACCATCTCATTTATTTCTCACAAAATAAATAAAGGGGCCACTCTTCCCCTCTTGCACAAATGGAGGTGGAGCCTCCAGAGGTTAAGCAGCTTTTGCAAAGTCATAATTAGTAAACAAGGTGGTACTTTCAGCCTCTGGCTGTCAGAGGCTCCCTGGCGTCCATTCAGATTCTCTGGATCCTAATGGCCACTTAAGAGGCCTGTGTTATTTTATAGGTGGGTGTTCGTGTGGGAAAAGGGTTACCAGGAAATGGACTCCGTGGTCAGCTCAGTGACTACCAAGGCCAAAGGCGTGGCTGTGACCAATACTTCTACACTTGGGTTCCGGATCTGGGATGTGGCTGATTATGTGATTCCAGCTCAGGTAGGTCTCCTACTCTGACCTGTCTGATACTGAAGCCTCCAGGTGTTACTTTCTCTGTACTAACTTGTCATGCCTGCTTAATGATCGGTACCCAGGGTTCTAACATCTCTGACACCCAGACCGGTTGTTTTAGCCCCAGAAAGCAGCACAGCCATGTCTCTTTTGGGCTTCAGGTCTAAGGGGTATCATTCAGTCAGCTGTGGCTCTCCAACTCTAAAGTGTGGCTGGCCTCAGATGTCCTTCCATGTGGACATCTTGGTCTGTCTCAAGCTCTAAAAGGTAAGATAGCGAACGTCTTAAATCCTGGGAGAAGTTCACGGGGAAAACAGCACCTTCCCACATTTTGCATTTGCTTTATTATCTTACATCTACAAGGTCAATCATCTCTGTCAGTGTCTACCATAGTTAGAGGCCAAACCGCAGACCAAAAGGAGATACAGGAACAAAGTCAGGGGAGAAACTGATGGTGACATTCTAGTCTCCAGCCCATTAAGCTGCAAGTTAATATTTTGGTCTTTTTTTGTTTTTTTTTTTTGAAGGCGTTGGGGTTTGAACCCAGGGCCTTAGTAGGCAAACACTTCACCACTGAGCCACATCCCCAGCCCCAAGCTGCAAGTTAAATATTGACTCTTTAGCTTTGCGCCACACATGGCCAAACCCTACCATACCCCTCCAGATGGCTGATGTGTGCAATGCCCACGGTGGCCAAATTCAGATGAGTTGCCAACTCTCTTTTTTTAATTGGTACACAATTTAAAAAAGGGAAGCAGAGGCTTCAGCAGCTCTCCAATGTGTCCATTCCCCTGCCTTCTCAAGAGAATGGTCTAGTGGGGGTCCAGAGAGAGGCCGGAGCTGATGAGCTTTAAAGGTGCAATGGCGGGGTGGTCCTGGGGACACCTGTCCATGCTCCCCGTGGAGGCATGGCCTCATCCTGGCAAGCTGTGGGACTGTCCTGCCCAGTCTGCTTTAGCCAAGGAAGGAATGAGCCCTGCTTCTGCCCTGAGTGGAAAGGACCGCCCAGCAGCTCTGCCACCTGTCACTCATGGGAGCTGGGGCTGTGTGAGCCCCATGGGGCTCTCTGCTCTCACTGTGTCCTCAGGCTTCTCCATTGAGGGAGCCCAACCACTGCATCTACTTGGCTCATCTTCAGACTGAAGTTTCCCTAAATTTGAAATAGATCAGAGGAAACAAAAAGTAGACCACACTGAATTGTTGGGAGTCCAGCTCAGAGATGCTCAGGAGCAGCCTTCCCTCAACCTGTGACAGGAGTGTGTTTCTCTTCGACACTTTGGGGACATGACCGGGTATCAGGAGAGACTCCCACCTTGGGCCTCCTCTTGTGGCCATTTCCTTGTCTCTGCAGGAAGATACCTACCATTTCGAAAGCTTCTACCACCTTGACATATTGGGGGGTGTCCACAGTGACCTTGGTCCTGAGACGGCTCCCAGAGCTGACTGTTCTTTTCAGGAGTATGAAATGAAATGCTGGACGCTTCTGGCATCTCTTTAAAAAAAAATGCCCATGCCCAGTGGAGGGGAGGGGACCAACCAGAACTTTCTGGGGTCTTTATCTTTAATTCCTTATATTAGGTCCTTATATTAGGAGATCATAATTAGCAATTTTTGTTTGCGGCAGTTCTGGGGATAGAACCCAGGGCTTGCGCACACAAGGCAAGTGCTCGACCACTGAGCCACAGCCCAGCCAGTACTTAGCAACTCAGCCCCAGCAAGTGGCTTTCCAGAAACTGGACCAGTGCTTTGGCACCTTCAGATCTACAAGGAGAAAACAGAACCTTGTCAAGGACAGAAATGTCAGAAATGCCCCTGAACTTCTTCTCTAGAATATTTTATTTCTTTTCAATTATAGTTATAAAAGAAAATTCAATTATAGTTATAAAAGAAAATAAGTCAGGAGGATCTCAAATTCAAAGCCAGCCTCAGCAATGGCAAGGTGCTAAACAACTCAGTGAGACCCTGTCTCTAAATAAAATACAAAAATGGGCTGGGGATGTGGCTCAGTGGTTGAGTGCCCCGGTACCCTCCCTGCTAAAAAAAGAAGTCAAGTTTGAGGCCTTGGGGGCTTTGTGTTTTAATACCTCAGAAGTCATTGGTTGACAGAGCAAGTTTTGAGCTACTATTGGCTCTTTTCCCTTAATAAGTCAAGATCTGTTGAGGATCTGTTTCAGATTGTAGATTCTTTAAAAATTGAGGTAAAATTCACATAACAGGAAAATTAAACTTTTTTTTGCAGGAGGGGAGGGCTTGGAAATTGAACTCAGGGGCATCCTTTTTACTTTTTTTTTTGAGATAGGGTCTTGCTAATTTGCTGAGGCTGACCTCAAACCTTGCAATCCTCCTTCCTGAGCCTCCTAAGTCACTGGGATTACAGGCATACACTGTGCCCATTAGAGTCCCTATTAGGTTATAAACTCTCACGGGAGAGAACAGGAGACCATAATATTTGCTTTTTTAAATCATCCTATTAAGGAGATACCTAGCTTTTTTAATGTCCCAGCCCGACTCCTCTGAGGGTGATCTGACAAGGCTCCCTCCCTCTCGCCCTCTCTGCAGGAGGAAAACTCCCTCTTCATCATGACCAACATGATCATCACCATGAACCAGACCCAGAGCATCTGTCCCGAGGTAGATGGCTCCTTGGGAAAGCCCTGGGCCTCACACCCCACTCTCCACAGCCCTGAGTGAGTGGCTGGACCACATGGAAATTGTTTTCACTCAATCTCCTTTGTTTAGATTCCTGATAAGACCACTGTGTGCGAATCAGATACGGACTGCACTTCTGGGTCTGCCGACATCCACAGCAATGGTAGGAATGGTTAGTAGTGACCCCTCAGCAGATGCTTAGCCCCAGGAAGGCAGCTCCTGACAAGATCACTGTCTCTACACAGCATCTCTGAAAGAGAAGTCTCAGGGATAAATAAATCCTCCCTATGCCCAGCGGACTGGGGGTGGAGCTCAGATGTAGAGGTGAGCTTAGCATAACTGAGGCCCTGGATTCAATCCCCAGCACCAGAAAAAGATCCCCCCACCATTCTCCAATGCCACACAACCCCGGGTGAGCCTGATGTCAGAAGAGGCCCAGGGACCCTGTGTCATTTGAGTCCCAGAAGCCAGCTCAGATCTTGCTGCATTCTGTGACTTTGTATCACTTTGGTCCTGAGATTGCAAAGCAGAGATGTGGCCAGCACTAAGGCAACCACCTTCCAGTTCCAATTTCTGGACACCCTAAGTCCCAGAATTAGAATCGTTCCAGACTGGCTACATAGGATATTATGGGGGGCTTACTCCCTACCTCACAAAGGGAAGAAATAGCCCCCTGTAGACCTGGCTCCCCATCCCCCCCACAGGAGTCAAGACTGGAAGATGCGTGCCGTTCAATGGGTCAGTGAAGACCTGTGAGGTGGCAGCCTGGTGCCCGGTGGAGGATGACACACATGTGCCAAAGTGAGTTCTGCCTGAGAGTGCCCCCAACCCTGGTTCTCCAACTTGAGGGAGGTGGCAGGGAAGGTTTGGAGGCCGTCTGTGTGCTCTTGGTGTCTGGGTGTCTGGGACAGCGGTCCTTAACCACAGAGCATCAACCTTCAGTGGTGAGGTGAGCCCCAAGTGGTCACTTATGATAAGGGTGCAGTTTGACTTATTGAATGTTAGGACTCCATTAGTTGCAAATAATTGAGAAGAGACAGATCTCAGTGCTTTATCATGGCTGTGATCAGGGGTACTTCATCATTCAGCTAGCCTAAAAGACCTAGCAGGGCTCAATCTGAGGCTCAGAGACCGTCTGTCCCACATCTGGCCTCTGTCTCTTTCCATGTCAGGTTCATTTGTTGGACCCCTGGCATAGTCCCAGGGGGACCTCCCTTCCTAGCTGTGCAGAGTCTAGACCTGTCCATAATCACGTTCTGGGCTACATCCCTTGATCTGTCACTGTGGCTGGGGGACAGTTTGTTTCTCAGCATGCCTGGGTCACATGTCCACCTCTAGAGTTCGGGCTAGAGTCAGCCTCACCCAAATGACCCAGGCTGAGAGTAGGGGAAGTGTGACTTCCAAAGGAAATCTGAGGTTCCATTACCGGAAAAGGGGGGACAGGAAAATAATAAAAATCTGCCAAAGGGTGTTCTATAAACCAGAGCAGGTTGGGGGTTGCCCTAGGATAACATTCTTCCCAGTTGCAATTTGCTGTAGTTTGAACGGGTGGAGTCTAAGACCTTCCCTTGAGAATTCCTGCTGCCTGGGGCTTTGTCATCCAGAGATCAGACTGAAGGCCAGGGGAGCAGGGAGCTTCTGCAGCTCATCCTGGGCGTAGAAGAAAACATGGAGACTGCTGATGTGGACTAAGGAGTGCAACACTGAAAGGAAGGGAATCCTAGCTTTTCAGAGTCAGAAAGATCTCCCAGAGCTGTGCTTTCCAGCACGGGAGCCACTGGCCAAGTGTGGCTGCTGAGTACTTGAAATGTGGCTGGGTTTTCTTTTGGTGTGAAGTACACTGTAGGATCTGAAATTCATTATGAAAAAAAAATATATATAATATGTACTTAATAATATGTTGGCTACATGTAGAAGTAATATTGTGGATATTTTGGGTTATTATATAAAATTAATGTTGTTATTTTTATTTTTAAATGTGGGTACTAGGAAACTTTTAATTATAATGTGGCTTGTAGTGTGCCTCATAGTACATTTATATTGGATAGGGGTATAGAAGATCTAAGTCGGTGTGAGACGATTTTTAAAAGCAAACCGATGCAAGAAATTGCATTGAGTCACATGATGAGAAAGATATTCCTATTTCCATTTTGGGTGGAGTGTCTTTATTACCTGTCACTTGCTTATTTCTATTTCTCACACTGAACAAGCCCCAGATTAGGAATGTTGGGCATAAAATAATATTAACTACATGTTTTAGTAACATTGTTTTTATTTCATTATATTTATTTAAACAATGACGTCTGACCTGATGTGAGTGATTTTTGTGTGTGTGCAGTGCTGGGGATTGAGCCCAGGACCTCATGCATGGTAGGCAAGTGTTCTACATCCCTAGCCCTTTTTAAAAGATTTTTTAAAAATCTTGAGACATGGTCTTGCTGAATTGCCCAAACTGGCTTCAAACTTGTGATCCTCCTGCCTAACCCTCCCAAGAAGCTGGGATTACAGGCACATGTCACCACACCCAGCACAAGTGATATTTTTATGGTCATGAGGGAAAGTTTCATTTCAAAGTAAATATCAATAAAAAATGAGTTAGTCTTAAAGGTGGAATCAACCCAAATGCCTATCAGCAGAAGAATGCATAAACAAATTTTGGTGTGTGCATAGCATAAAATATTACTCAGCCTCATAAAAAGGAATGAAAAAAAAAAGAAGGCAACATACTGTTACTAGAAGTAAAAAATAAAATGCATTCAGATAGCTATGTAATATTTCTAATACACAGACATGATTTACAGTGTCACTTTGTCAAGACAAAAGTGAGGTGCAGCATTTTCCGGCATTTTCTGTTCTCTTCTGCAGAAGCACTAGGTCTAGAGCTGAGTCTAAGCTGGCCTTCTGGATCCTTCCCCTGGGAGGCCCGATGGAGAACCTGAGGGACTGAGAAGCGGGCTGCTGTCTCGCAGCCTCCCTGGAAATCATTCCCTCTTACAATCTAGGTGAATCTTTAAAACATCACTGAGTAAAAGAAAACAGACACAAAGGCCGTATGTTATTTGATTCCATTCATATGAAATGCCCAGAATAGACAGATCTGTAGAGATAGCAGAGTGGGGTCTCAAGGCACTAACTCCCGGGTGGATGCGCAGGTCCTCTGGGGCGATGCAAATGTTCTGGAACTAGATAGAGGTGACGGTTTCCCAACATTGCAGATGCACTAAATGCCACTGAATTGATTGATTCTTAAATAGTGAATTTTATGTTGTGAATTCCACATTGACTTTGTTTTAAAAGGTGAGTTGATCTTAAGTATTGCAGACAGGGTGCAAAGATGTAGGTCCAAAAGCTTTGAAATGGAAAATGACAGATGTTTGCAAAGCTCTGCAGAATCCCTGCCTCTTGAGGGAATGGGGACGCGGAGCCCGAGGGACCTGCATTGCTCGAGGCCTTTTCTTGACAGCAGGTACTCAGCAGCCTTGTCAATGGCCTTGCTCCTGTCTCTCCATTGAAAAGACCACTGTTGTCATTTGTAGCTCCGCAATTTACACCTGGCTCAGGGAGCTGCCCCAGCCCCTGAGAAGAAGACTTAGCCCTGCGGTGCCAGATTCTCCCATAGACAAATCCACAAAAGAAACAGAGTCCCCTTGGGACAGGTTCACCTGGTAGTCAGCTGGGAGTCCACATGGCACCATTGGGAGGAGGCAGGTGTGCTGGCGGGGGGGCAGTACTTGTGTACTTTTCAGGTGAGGCCAGGACGCAGCCTGCAGGTGAACTCACCTGTGCAGGTGAACTCACCTGTAAAGTCCCATCTTTCTAGCATCCCTTCCCCAGAGCGAGCCTGAAACTGGCAGCGGCCGGGAATGATTTCCAGGGAGGCTGTGAGACAGCAGCCCCCTTCTCAGTCCCTCAGGTTCTCCATCGGCCTCCCAGGGGAAGGATCCAGAAGGCCAGCTTAGACTCAGCTCTAGACCTAGTGCTTCTGTGGAAGAGAACAGAAAATGCCGGAAATGCTGCACCTCACTTTTGTCTTGACAAAGTGACACTGTAAATCATGTCTCTGTGTTAGAAATATTACATAGCTATCTGAATGCATTTTATTTTTTACTTCTAGTAACAGTATGTTGCCTTCTTTTTTTTTTTTTTTCAGGCCTGCTTTTTTAAAGGCTGCAGAAAACTTCACTCTTTTGGTTAAGAACAACATCTGGTATCCCAAATTTAATTTCAGCAAGTAAGTGGTGGCCACTGTGTGAGTTCACCAGTATCTTGGAGAAACTTCTGGCCCTTCTCTGGGGTTTTCTCACAATGGATTTCTGCTTCCTTCTGGCTCTAGGAGGAATATTCTTCCCAACACCACCACCACCTACCTCAAATCATGCATTTATGATGCCAGGACAGATCCCTTCTGCCCCATATTCCGTCTTGGCAAAATCGTGGAGAACGCAGGACACAGCTTCCAGGACATGGCCGTCGAGGTAGGTGCAGGCCCTGGCTTCTCACAGTCCTGGACATTTCTCGTATCTAAGCCGGCTCTGACGAGAGCCTGGGTGTGTCTTCTTCTGTCCCACAGGGAGGCATCATGGGCATCCAGATCAACTGGGACTGCAACCTGGACCGAGCCGCCTCCTTCTGCCTGCCCAGGTATTCTTTCCGCCGCCTCGATACCCGGGACCTTGACCACAATGTGTCTCCTGGCTACAATTTCAGGTGGGCATGAGCTTGGACCGTCACTCACTATGAAGGGGGGCTGATGGATGAGTTATTCCTCCGTGGGTGCATCTGTGTCTCCAAAGACTAGCACATGGGCAGCACCCCAGGGCAGGCTGCACAGGAAGGCATGTGCTTGGGAGAGCGCTCAAAGCAGGGTCTTGCTCTCAGGTTGAGCCTGCCCCAGGCTCTCGAGGGTGCAGTGGGTGCAGGTTTTAGGCCCAAGAAAGGCCTTTGCTTGTATCTCCTGATGAAAATGCTGTCGCAGGGGCTGAGGATGTGGCTCAAGCGGTAGCGTGCTCGCCTAGCATGCGTGTGGCCCGGGTTCAATCCTCAGCACCACATACCAACAAAGATGTTGTGTCCGCCAAGAACTAAAAAATAAATATTAAAAAAATTCTCTCTCTCTCTCTCTCTCTTTAAAAAAAAAAAAAGAAAGAAAGAAAAGAAAATGCTGTCGCAGTAGTTTCTCTGGGCTGGAGTAACAGAGCTGACTGCCTTGACAGAGATGTGTTCTCTAGGTTCTGGAGGCCAGAAGTAAAAAATGAAGGTGTCTGCAGGGCCAGCCCCCCACTCCCAAGGCTCTAGGCAGGATCCTCCCCATCTCTTCCAGCCTCTGATGGCTCTCAGCAATCCTTGGCCTGCAAATGTGTTGCTTCTGTCTGTCTGCACGTGGCCTTCTTCCCTCCATGCATGTTTCTGTGTGTCTTCTTGTGAGAACAGTAGTCATATCAAATTTAGGGCCCATCTGAATCAAGTACGACCTGATCTTTACTAATTGCACCTCCAAGACCCTATTTCCAGTTAGTTATTTACAGTCACATCCATAGATTCCGGGTGACATGAATTTTCAGGGAGGCACTATTTAATCCAATGCAGCTAGTCATCTGATAAGAGGGCCAGGAGCATATTTGCCATTTCCTTGAGGCAGCAAAATCGATAGCTGTGTACTTTTTCATATGCCCCTTGAGGAATTTTCCCCAAACGCACTTGCTCCTAAAACCAGGCCCTGCAAGGAACATTGGAATGGATCAGCAGAGGTTTTGTGTTGCTCTTGTCTCCCTCTAGTGGTGGCATGTGGTATCAAATGCACATCGCATTGTCAGAATCTTTGCAGATCCGCAGCAGTCCCTTTGAACCATCCCACTCCCTGGTGGATGGCAGGGCAGGTATTTGAACTCTTCCCTAGGAGTTAGGTTTATGTTGCTCTCTCTACCAGCACACAGTTCTTGTAGAAACCAAAAGCTTGGATCAGAACCCTAGAGCAGAGAGCAGTTGGTGGAGCCTCGGCCAGTACCAGTCCTGTTGAGTCTACCAGGCCTGGACCTCAACATGGAAGCCGTGAACCAGCCAGATCCCAGGCCTCAGGTTTAGGCCTCGGCTCCTGGAGGAATGGGACCACTCTCAGTGATTCTCCCCTCCACCATTCCTTGCTGGTTTTTTGTTTCATTTGTATCTTTGAATTTTATGGCTGAATTAAGACTACTCTGTGAGCAATCACCCATTAAAGTCTAGAATCCAGTAATTTTTATATATTTACACATATGTTCAACCAGTCAGTTTTAGAACATCATCTTCAACTCAGAAACCCCGATCCCTCTAGCTGTCACCCCTCCCACCCCGCAGACATAGGCAACTACCTGTCTACTTTGTGGCTTTGCAGATCTGGACTCCTCTGTTAATGGACTCATACATCATGTGTCTTTTCATGACTGGCTTCTTTCATTTTGCTTCATGTCTTCAAGGTTCATTCATGTTGTAGCAGATAATAAAGCTTCACCTCTTGTTATGGCCAAATAATATTCCATTGTGTGGATGGACCACATTTCATTTCCCTCTTCATCTGTTGATGGATCAGTGGTTCTTAGTTCTTTTTACTTTTTAAAGGTGATGCTAAGTTTTGTGACCACACAATGCAGTCTTGGTGATTGCTGCTGGCTGGCCACATTCTCAGTTAGTGGCCAAGTCCCCTTGAGAGAGGTAGGGAGGTCAGATGTATCAGGAAGGACACTGAGAGCAAGGATATTCAGGCTTATGCTACCTTGTGGAAGGAGAGGGTAAAGACAGAGAGGGGTCTACCTGTGCCTCCAGCACCCTCCCTCTGTAAGAGACTCACTGCATCCTGCTCTAACATCCCTCTCCCCGAACCCTGTGCCTTTCCCTCTGACCTGCCCTATGCCCACAGGTTTGCCAAGTACTACCGGGACCTCACTGGCGTGGAGCAGCGCACGCTCATTAAGGCATATGGTATCCGCTTCGACATCATCGTGTTTGGGAAGGTAGGCCTGCCACCAACTCCCTGTTGGCTGTTGTGGGGACCCCGCAAGGACAGGGGTGTCTTTCTGCCTTGCATCTGCTCTCCCCTACCCCTGTCAGAGCTTTTCCTTTCTTCTTCTGTCACATGCAGGCTGGGAAGTTTGACATCATCCCTACCATGATCAACATCGGCTCCGGCCTGGCGTTGCTGGGTGTGGTGAGTGGTTGGGCCTCCCCAGCAGTCAGCAGCACTTTCTAGTCTAGAGCCTCCAGGCTTCTTTCCTTGCCCATCCCCACCGTCCCTCCTCCCAGACCACTCCCCTCCGGGCTGGGCCGTCCTTCACCCCCAGAGATGAAGGTGCTTTTCCTTCCTATAAGAGATTCCAGACTTCAGGGGGAAGTACACACACAGAGCAGCAGGAGCTAAAGCACCGGGCTCATCCTCTCTACCCTTGCTATGTGCAGGCGACAGTGCTGTGTGACGTCATAGTCCTGTATTGCATGAAGAAGAGATACTACTATCGGGAGAAGAAGTACAAATACGTGGAAGATTACGAGCAGGTGGGCACCTCCTGTGCTCCCTGCAGGCAGGGAGCCTCTTGTCCTGGGGAGGGAAGCCCGGGTCCTGTGCTGCCTGGTATGGCCCTTGGACAGAGGCTGGTGCTGTTCTGGCAGCTGACAACTCATCACCTCAGGCTGGCAGTCAGATGCCAGCCTCGGCGCCTGCTCCGTCTCTGGACCACCTGTTCTAGTATTTACTTCAGACTCTTCAGAACCTACTTTGGTTTCGATTAGTGATCTCTTGAGTTAGTCATGATAATGGGACCACCTACATCTTCACAGTAAATTCACCTTGCTTAACAAGAAGGGTTAGGTACCCGGTTCTAGAACCAGCTGGAGTCCTCTTGTGAAGGGCTGTCCAGAAGCCCTCAGGAAAAGCTCCCTATTCCTGCCTGCCTCAGATGGTCCAGGGGCAGTGACTGCTGGGTGGACACTGACCTCCTTATCCCTCTTTGCAGGGTCTTGGTGGGGAGACAGGCCAGTGATGCCTACCCGACACCTGGGCTCCCCGAAGCCCTCATCAAGCACAATGAGAAGGAGGGAGAAATGGCTGCTATGTCACCCCAGAGAACATTCCAGATTCTGATTCACTCTCCATAAGTACTGAGGGTTGCCTGGTAGCTCCTACATTTTGTGTGTGGGGGGTTCATTTGTCCCCTGGGCACAGTGGATTACCAACCAGTGTGTTGTTGGCTGGGGCGAGTTGCTGGGGCCTTCTGCAGGCCCCGGGGCCAGCTTTCCTCAGAAGCTGCAGTCTCCAGCCCTCGCGGACGGGGCCAATCCTGTGAGGCATGGCAACTCCATTCAGGCACTTTGTAAGGAAAAGAAAGCCTCTAGGCTCGTGCTCCCTAGACTTTAGCAGGCCCAGGCTGCTGCTCCTCTCCCCCAAACCAGAAACACTGTCCTTGCAACCATGTTACAGAGTTGGCTCTCTTCCTCTGAGAACAGCTGTGTAGAGATGGTTGAAGATCAAACATTAAAACAAGCGGTTTTTCTTACTTCTCGCATGCCGTCTCCTAGGATGGGCTAGAGCTCTCCTTCCTTCTCTTACTTCAGGGAAGTTAATATGGGATGGGGGAAAGGTGCCCACACATTTGCCTGATGACAAGAACAATTACCGTCGGTTCTGCCCACATGCAACCTTGCAGCGAAGGCCACTTCCTGGAACGGCCAGTCCTAATGGCAGCCTCACAGTCAGCTCGCCTCTCCAAAGAACTCTCCTGGCAACGGCTGCACACACGTCTGCGATAAGCCCCTGCCACCAAACAACTTCTGTTTGGAAATATCTTGCCTGCACTTCTTTTTAGTCTTGCTCCCCTGGGCCTCAGCCCCCCAGCCCCCCAAGGCCATGGCACACATAGCCTGGTTGCAGTCACCTCTGAATAAACCCCTCTGCTGGTATTTCAGGTTGACAATTTCAAGTAAACCCATTTGTTGTCCAGCTCTGTCCTCAGGAAAGGTCTCTGAAACAATCCGTCTCTGCAACTCAGGCATTTCCCCTGCCTGGCTTTTCTCTTAAAGCCTAATTAAGCGTTTTGATCTTCACTGAATTGTAAGTTTTTTTTTTTTTTTCCTAGTGGCATCTCACCTGTGCTGGCATTTTTTACATAAGATGGCAGTAGTACACTGTAGGTGGCACAATTTTAGGGAACATGGAAGTGGCTCATCCCCTTCTCTCCGTTTTCTTCCCAAGCCTCCAACCCAAAGCAGGATCACCTGCATCTCTCGGTACACGTGTGACATGGTAACGGAGCTACTTCCCGCTGTAACTTCAACTTCGTGCTTGATTCTGCTTCAGGGGTTCAGGATTCCTCCAAGGGAGGCAGCCTGCCCCTCCCCTTCCCCATGAATCACTTCATTTCCAACTACTCTGGGGAATACTTTAGAAGTACTCTGCTTCAGCAGGAAAAATGATCCACCTGGACTTTTCTTTGGGGGTGGGGGTTGCTAAATACTTTTCAACAATGTCGTGGTTCAGGCCAGGTGTGGTGGCACCTGCCTATAATCCCAGCAATTCAGGAGGCTGGGGCAGGGGGTGGCAAATTTGAGGCCAGTCTCAGAAACTTAGTGAGACCCTGTCCAAAATAAAGGGCTGGGGTTGTAACTCAGTGGCACAGCATGGTTGGGTCACTCTACAGTACCAAGGGGGTGAGGAGCTGATCCATGTGGCCTTTTTTAAAATGCTCATTTGGCACTGGGGATGTGGCTCAGTGGTAAAGCGTTCCTGAGTCCAACAATCCCCAGTACCCCCCCCCCCAAAAAAAAAGAGTGAGCTAGAATCTTTAGGAATCGTGATATGATCTAAATGTGTCCCAAAAAACTCATGTGTTGGAAACTGAGTCCCCAGTGCAACAGGACAGGGAGGGAGACTGGGTCATAGTCCTCATAAATGGAACTAGGTGCCATATAGAAAGGGCTTGACAAGGAGCTCATCCCCTTGCAGCCCTTCCATCTTCTGGGCACATATGGAAGCAGGGAGCAGCCCTCACCAGACCCCAAACCAGCTAGTTCCTTAATCTTAGACTTCCGAAAAACTAATTTCTGTTCTTTGCAAATTACCCCATCTCAGGCATTCAGTTATAGTAGCACAAACAGACAAAACAAATGGTTTGTCTATTACCCTGCAGCTGAGGAGTAATGGCAGTGGTCTTCTGTAATGGGGGGCTGCATTTGGCCTTCTCTTTTCTGAAATGGAATGCAAAGGCCAGTCGGGGTGATGGATGGGTGTTGGGCAGCACTGCGATTTCACTCACCAGTCTCATCTTGCTTCTGACCATGTCCCTTCTCACTGGCACACCCTGGTGCCATCAGGAGTCTTCTGTGCCCCTGGAGCTCTGCTCCATGATGCACCTGTGTGCACCCCTCCTCCCTTCCCTCAGATTCGCAGTGGGGTCTTGGGATAGCAGCCCCTTGCTCCTGAGTCTTGAAGGCCTGCATTTCAATGCTTTTCTGAAGCAGTGGAATGGGGATTTGTTAGACTTTGCCTGCTGTCCCCTAGTAACAGAAAAATGAAATTTAAAGCCAAGAGAGCACCTCCAAGGACTAGAGCCACACTTGAAATGCAGAGACTCCTCCACCTTTGGCCTGGAGGAGCATCCAGATGCCATCAGAACCAGCAAGCACCAAGACTCAGGACGCCAAAGACCAGGTGCTTTGCTGACAAATTCCAGCCCTTGGACAACCGACTTAACTTTTCTGAGCCTCAGCTCACAGGTGATGATCCTCATTATGAGTTTAATACCCACCTCCTGGGGCGAAGTGTAACAGAGCAGGCCTGGACCACAGGACACATTCCACATGATGGAACTACTCACCTATCTGGCCTCCGCCAGAATCTTGCCCTTACCTGTCCACTAGAGCAGGGCTTCTCAAACTTCAACCTGCAGGTGGGTCACCTGTGAGCGGGTTTAAGCGGGGCCTGGGCATGTGCATTCTGCCCTGCTCTCAAGTGCTGTTGACACAGCTGGTCCTGGAGTCACACTGAGCAGCAGCATATGAAGACATGCCCTAAATCAGGGGTCTGCTGGCTACATTAGCATTGACTGGGACATGTAACCTGCTGTTCACCTAGGGAAGGAGAGCAGACACAAGGACAGATGGACAAAATAAACAACCAACCAAAACAAAAAAAAAACCCTGAGGCCCAAACTTTGCACCATTTTGCTGTCTCTTTATTTCAAGTTTACAGAGAAGCTTAATCATTTGTGGAAAAACACCAAAGGCTTATCTTTCTCTTAAGTTCATGTACTTGTAAGTGATAAATACACAGTATTTAACTTTGTACACCTGATAAAAGGAAAATGCATAGTAGAAAGGATCAGGAATAAAACAGAAGCATTGGGCATCGAAGAGATCACAGAATAGAAAAGTCAAAAGTCCCATGAGACTCGGCCCATGAAGCTGAAGAAAAGATGGGACCCATGACTATGAGATCTTCCCTAGCACCTTGGAAGCAAGTGGGGGTCCTGGTTCCACCATCAGCAATGTGAAGCTGCCCTCAGGAAGATGGGTGAGGGCCACAGCCTGGCCCAGCCTCCCCCTGGGCAGGGGTTCTCCTTGTTCCAGAAAGGGTTTGTGGACAGGAGCTCCACCCCATGGAAAGGCCAGAGTAATGGCCTCCACAGGCCCAAATGCCAACAGGGGGGGCTCGATAAGGTTTCTGGGGACCACTGGCCACCTCTGGAATGGACAGGGGAGGTGGAAACAGGCAGAGGAAAAGAAAAGCATGTGGGAGGCTTGTGCTTTCTTCCAGGCCACAGGGCTCACACCACACTGGTCCCAGAGGAGCCAGCAACTCGAGGAAGCACAGGCATCCTTTTTGCCCACTGGAAAAAGCTGCTCCTGACAGCTTCTCCCTTTTCCTGGCCAAGCTGGCTTTTAAAAACTCCACGTTTGTGCTCCAAGAGTGGTGGCCCTAGTGACAGCCATGTCTACTTATGCTTTCCATGAGGAGAGGTTCCTTTCCACAGCTTTCTTTGGTGTTTATTTTAAAAACTAAATAAATAAAAGTTACGGTGTGGACCTCTCCCACCCCACCCACCCAAATGGCTAGATGCTGCCTGGCCACTGGGCTTCCCCATAAGACATCTGGGATGGCGAGTTCATGGTGGGGAGAAATGGCATTGCCCAATGCGGCGTGTAAACACGAGAGGAGTTCTGCAGAGCTCTGCATGCAGCCTGCCCTCCTCGGCCACTCAGCCAGGCAGAGTCCGTGCATGCGGGCTGGGGCTAAGCCTAAGGACTGGCGACTTTAACCACTGCAAGGTGCTTATTGCAAACTCACCAGACCCCATCTGCTACCAGAAGGGGTGGAGCTACTGGGTCATTTCCCCCTAAATTTAAAGCAGAGGGGAGACAAGCGCAAATACTAGGTTACAAAGACAAAGCAAGCAGGCAAGACGACCCTCCTTACACCGGAGTCTGTGCTCTTTGGAACCAGCATTCCCTAATTCTAACTGCTTCTACAACAGCACGCGAAACCTGGCTAAACTACAATCAAGAGCTTAAGAAAATCTATGGAAGCCAAGGAATGCCCAGGCTTTGTGAATGGCTGGGAGGGGACACAGGCTTTGCTTCTGTGTCTGTGCGAAGTCCTTGAACCAAGGCTTATCAAACTGAAACCACAAAAAAAGCAGTCTTCCAAGGCCCAGCACTGAATTTACCTCCCAGGACCAGATCTCAAAGTCCTCCCAGCACAAAGTCCTTCCCACCCCCTTGAACTTCACACTCACCAGTGTGTGGCTCTGGGCAGAGTCACATGCAAACCTCAGCCAAACGTCTCAGCATTGGGAAGTTTCTTTTGGTTGGAAGTCAAAAGATAAAATTTTCAGGCTACAAAAGGGAACTTCCCATGCTAGCACCCAGTTCCTCCATATCCCAAGGAATACTCTGAGTTTCAACAATCTTCTCTAAAAGGGTGATCCAAGGTCACTGTGTGGACCCTACCAAAGCTTTGATGCTAAGGATGATCATTTGTGTCTCAGCCAAGTGAGAGTATTTCCCTCAGAGCCCTCCACAAAGCAGGTAAAGTGTTTGGCTGACTGCCGCGAGTGAGCGGTTAAGATGCAAACAGAACTTCAGCAGGCTCAGGAATACACAGGTCATAAACAAGCTGAGTTGCTAATATACAGGCATTAGGTTTCATCGGCTCTCACTCAGATCACACGGGGAAGCTGTGGCATGTCCTGGAAGCTCTAAATAACCTCTGAACTTCTCTAGAGTTCAGTCTAGTTAGACAATTGAAAATATTTTTGTGTTGAATCATAAGCCATGTAATGTACATGGAAGTGTAGGATTTCACCCTGAAGTTTTTGTAACTGAACAAAGAGATTTACTGGAGCCCAGCCAACTTTTCCAGAAACCCACTTTGAGTGGCAGGTGTAAGGGCGCGCATTCAGTCCTCCAGGCAAACCTCTCCCCCGCCCAGGCTGCTGAAGGCTCCTAGGGCTGGCAAATCCCCTTCAAAAAGCAATTAAACTTCAAGCCCTTTCAGTTTTCCTGACTACAG